TTAATCCGCAAATAAAATAGAATTATTATATTTTATTAAATTTATTATTACATTATTATTCTATATAGTATAAATTCATAAATACCGCAGTTAAGAAAGTAGAAAGCCTATATCGAATGGTTTAACCTGAATAATTACCTTATTTGTTTTAACCAATATTAATTCAATGAATTACTGATTTCAAAACCCTAAACAATAGTGCAGATAATGAAGAAAATTCTTAATCATAAGATTGGATAGCGGCAGCAGAGTTTCAATTTTCTTAAGTTCTTATGGCAATTGTGAATGTCTCAGTCACTTAAGAACAATGCAGTAGAGTGCAGTACAACAAGCAGACGTGCTCTCCATTTATTAATGAATGACTCGATGCGGACTCCCAGCTCCTTAATAGTGTACCTTCGTATTCAAAAGTTCAGCGGTGATTCGTTCTAGTTAGCCAAACCTCAGACGGACTATAAACTTCATTAACTTCCTGGAATATTTGTCCTCTTTCCGATTCTGAATCCCAGAAGGCGGTCGTTCAAAATTTATAGAGCCGCGAGTCGAATGAATAAATCATTCAGACCTTTTTAAACTTCGTTTAAAAGTTACATCTCTTTATTGCTCTACGTTTACACTGCCTCCCCGTTTACCCTGTTTATTTTGAATTGCAACACCATTGACTAAAAGTCACTTTAAAGGAATACAATATAAATATCTTAAAAGACTATATAATTATACATTACTAAAGGTTGTACAAATTTAAATTTGAATGTACTTAACATTGCTGATTTTCTTTTTAAAGATTAGTCTTCAAAATGTTTTCAGTATTGTGATAAATATGGTTTATATCGGTATCACGCTACATATATCAAAATGTTAAAATATAGTTTTCTGATAGGATTCATAGCTTCGAAAACATATATTCAAGTTTTATACTTCCCTTCGATAAATGTTTTAGTGGCCATGAATATTCATCTGACTTTTATACACTGTAATGTTTGTTTCTGGCGTATAATCAAAACTTTTCGTACTGAACGAAATTTTCTCAAATGTTTTACTTGGGTTAATGAAATCGCTGTCATGATGAATTACTCAATTACTTCGCGTAAGTTAATTTATGGTATATCTCCGCCGTACATTGCGCTGCTGCACTGGAAATATATCGTTGTCAAATATTTTGCGGTACTTTAATTTCATTCCTAAAATTTCGTTGAATATTCATATCGCATTACTGGGTAATGTTTCTGTCTAGAAAACTTGAAACAAATCGCGCATGACGTAACGTTGCTAATGAAACGTACAAAACGTATTTATTAACTGGCTTAAAATTGTTTAATAAAAATTACACTTTATTATGCACTGAATAATATCAATATTTATACATAAACTCCTCTTTTCCTTTTGCCCTTTGTTAAAAGCCACAACATCGAATTTTCTGAACAACTAAAATCGACATATTTTAATAATACTACAATATAACAATCATTGTTTCTATTTCATATATTACATACATAATAAGAAACAATTTATACATTACATACATAATAAGAAAATATAAACGTTTTATATAACCTTACACTCCATTATCCATCACAAACTGAAACTACAGACTTAAACTTAAAACCACCAATCCCAATCCACACCTAAAACCCAACTCTTCAAAACTAATAACAAACATCTCAGCACCGCTTAATCCACACTCAAGCTAATACCTCGATTTTCTTTTCCAGGGACGGCGATGCGTTAACAAGCCCAACATCGCCCGGAAACTCACACATATCAACTCATATCATATACCGTCACATCGAAGAAGTCGCGGGAGCCATAGCTATCCAGAGACAGATAATCAATCAGATATCAATCCACCACGGCACGAGTCTTATCGCTGAAAGAACGAAGGTCGGAAAATGATTCAGTCGAAACTGTGTCGTATCAAGTGTCGATCACGCCAGATCGGCGAGAAACTATTATAGCCTGACCAGCTAGAAGAGCATCGACATTCTTCGTCGCGACGAAAGGCAAGAAATATTCCAAACTCCCGGTGAATTGAGAGTTGCCTGACTCAGTGTATAAAAGAGGAGCTAAGGGCAAAGTGGCAAGAGGATGTTGTTGAGGTAACACGATTTATCGAGCCGGCTGTGGAAACGAGAGTTAATTGAACCCGTCCCCGATACCGCGGAGGATCGTAAGCCTGACGGGTCTAGCCGAGGATTTCTGGCTGAACGATAGGGGCCGGGCCCGGCTTGATAGTCAAGAATGGTGTTCCCAAGACGGAGATCCCTGTGGCTGAAGGTGGCCATTTTGGCGTCCGCGGTTTGGGCTACCGTCTGCTTCCTCCTCTACACGGAGGACCGCGCGAACGCAGCGGTGCAGGGCCTGGCGCCGTCCGGCGTCGCGGCGCCGCAGATGGCGAACGGTTTTGTGCCGGCGGCCGCAGCCCTTCGAAAGGAGACGCCGCTTAACGAGAAGCCCAAACCGAAGGTCCTGCAAGCTGGTCCCGAGCAAGGTAATTAATTTGTTGTTAATGGCCGCTGCAAAGGGAGCTGGTATTCTTGCTCTCGGCCTACGGGATGGGATGACGGATTCAGTGCAAGAGGTTTTGTCGTGTTCGTTCGTTTGACGAATGTTGGACGTAACGCGCGGTTTGCTGAATGTAGGTTTGTCGAAGTGTTTAGTTCATTTGGGGTTACGTTTTTGGTTGCTGTTTAGTTGTGAGTTTTATATATTTATTGTAGTGATTGCACTTTGAAGAGATGCTTTTGGAATCCAGTAAGTAGATTCGAAGTTTGGAGTGTTTCGTGAATAGTTTGAATCTTCAAGTTGATAAATAAGATTCGGTGGACTTGGATATTTATGTTGTGCTTGTAGTTATCAGTAATTAATGAGAATAGTTGTTGGAACTCATCAGTGATACTTTAGACTATTAAGACATGTTTGAAATATATTTCAATACTAAAATTTATAATAAATATCATTAATATTTTCGCGTGTCGGTTCAATCACTCACAAAAATGAAAATCGAAAATCATTAACACTAGATTTACGGAACGTGTCAATTTGACTCATATTGAATTTTATAAACATTATTTGGTAAACGTTTGGGTCGATTTTGATTGATTCAATTGCGTGATTATGGTTTCTAATAATATGTTTTTAAGTATTTGATTTCCTAGATCTAAAGGAACGAACGTCAACCTTTCCGGAAACAATAGAATAAACTGTACAATAAATGTCCGTAAATCTAGCGTTAACGGTGTAGAATATAACCAAATACTGCAGAAAACGAGCCAATAATACCCAGCGAAATAGCAATTAACTGAAAGAAACACAGAAGACAGACTAAACACAGAAAATCGCAGGATTCCAATGAAAAATCCAATTATTAAGTGGGCAACAGTGTCGCGCGACTCGAGCTTCGCCGCGGCGGAGTTCGCTAAACGGTTCGTTCGGCGTTCAAGCAATTTGTCGTTCTCTTTATTGCCGCGTTGTACACGCCGGGAGCCTAACTTCGTTTGCCGGCATATTATTTTTCAGACACGACAAGACGCCGTGGAAACTGGCGGTAGTCGAGCGACGGTATCGCGCGCCGCCATTTACTGTCGGCTTTACCTATGCCCCGCCAATATGGCGCCTCGGAAAATAAAACTCGAGTTTATACGGAAAAGCTCTTAGAACGGTCGGAGAGGTGGGCAAGAACGCGTGGATGTACGAAACGTTCTGAAAATTCAATTCGCGCTTTCCACTGCTTCTCCTCACCGATTTCCCTCCTTTCTCACTTGTATCTCGTTCGCGCGGCGACCCTTCCCCTCCTTTGCTTTTCGATTACCGCGCCCACGTTTACCTGCTTTCTTTGAGTCCGCCGCGTTACCCCAGAGACAATTTGATTAGGAAATCGGAGAGGGAAATGAGGTTTCGACTCGTTGAAATGGAAGGATACTGCAGGTTACTTATTTGTGTCACGTGTGAAATGGAATATCGCGAGAGTCAATTCTTGTGGACTCGTCAATGGATGAGATCAGCATAGGTTCTTCGAATTAATAGATTATATTCATTTCCTATTTTTATAGTATTTACTTTTATTATTTATAGTATTGTTTCTATATTATTTGTATGTTTAATTATTTCTGTATTATTTATATTATTTATTTATATAGTTTATCTTTTTATTTCTATATTATCTTCATTTTTTAATTATTTCTATATTATATTATTTATTTATACTGTTTATATTGTTGTTTCTATACTATCGAAGTTCTGTTGTTACGTTGATAATAAGAATTCACAATACAACTTTCCTTTTCATTGTTTCAATAACAAAATTTTTAACAAGAGATAATAATGTCGCAATTATTAATATTTTAATGTCAAAATAAAATAATGTGTTCCCATTATCAATATTTAACTTGTGCAGCGAAACGTAGATTTAAAACGAATTAAAAGTTTTTTCATTTGTCAAATCGTTGATGATAAAGTAACTTTAATTAAATTCAGTCGCGGAGGAAGTTTCAGAGCGAAAGATAAATAAGTAGGTTTCCTCTTGTTAACCTTTTTTTCTTTTATTAATACTCATTTCAGGTGGTGGTGTACTCGCAGCACCTCGCGAACAAGACCCGAGCGCGGCTGGTGAAATGGGGCGACCAGTAATTCTGCCAACAAACTTAACTGCCGAGACGAAGAAACTCGTCGACGACGGATGGTTGAACAATGCGTTCAATCAGTACGTCAGCGACTTGATTTCTGTCCATCGAACGCTTCCTGACCCTCGTGATCCATGGTGAGTCAGATCCATCCTCTTAAGTAATTAATTTGAAGCTAACAATACTTATCTGTCTATTACAAAAGACTCTTAACACTGGAACTACCGAGCACTTAAACTAACCTTTGAAAATTTCATTATAAAAACTACTTAATAAACTATTTAATAAGATTTGAATTGGTTTAAATTTCAGCTTAGGTATTACTTAATCAGCTACTTTAGTAATTTCTCAAAGAGGTGTTCGTATCTCTTCAGTAATCACAAAAAAAGATCAAGGAACGGGCCATTTTGATCCATTTGGTAGTTCTACTGTTAAATTTGTCTACAATTAATGTTAATCAATATTAACACTCACAAAATAATATATGCCACCAGATCTTTCAAATATTGAATTTCAAATCAACAATTTCTATTTATATTTTAGCGAAGATAATTGAATTGCGATGCAGTTGAAATTAACCAATATTAAAAATCGCAGAACAGTATACTGCCAAATCTCTGAACTAATCAATTTCAGACCAACAATATTTATTCATATCTTAACAAAGGTAGTTGAACTTTCATACAGTTCAGACTAACCAATAGCAAAAGTCATAGAACAACGTACCCACCAGATTTCAATTTTCCTAAAATACGAAATCAACGCGATTTCACTTGAAAATATCCATCTAACCACGAACTACCCAAACCCCGAGCAAAAATGGCGAATATAATTACGCCATCAGCTACATTCGATGTTCTCAAACAAGCACAAGAACAAACTGTTTCGTTCCCTATTACAACGAATGCAAGCAGCAAGAAACCCTCTGCAATAACATTACAGTTAACCCAAACAGCTGCAAAAACGCATCCAATTATAGGAACTCTGCGTTATTATTCTTTCACTTTGGGGAAACGTGCGTGCTTCGGTTTTCCCCGTTACGGTGGACCTTAAAATTAACGTACACCCCGAAGGGAAACCTGTGTAGAAGTTAAGGGTCTCGATAAAGCGCGAGATAATTTCGAGCGGGGGTAAAAGCGTAGTTCGCGCGGCCCACCGCGGAATTAGAGTTGTTCCTTTGTTATTATTTAATTAAATTACTCGGCAGCACATTTAGTTCGAGTTATGTCAAACATCGTGCGCCGGCTTCGTCGGGATTTCCGGGATCGCGGGGTCGGTCCGAATGAAATATTCAAGGATCTTCGGCGGGTTCCCTCTTCCGAGTAACGCGATAAAGCGGGAACGTGCGCGGGGCCGGGCTCGTTTCGACGTCGAAGCCGGGGCTCTCATCGAAAGCGGAGAACGGGCCACGGCTCCATTAATACGCTTCGGCCCGGAGTAATGGGACGTTATTGCAGCTTCTTGTTAACAAATTGTCCGAATTACTTCCCGTTGACACGGAGAAAGTAATTTCGCCGGCCGCCGGGGAGCGCGATATGCCGCGCGGATAAATTACTTGGCCCCCGGTACTAATTTATTACGCACCTGCACACCCCCTCGTTACGCGCTAGGCACGCGTGATTGCCGGTTGATTTAATTGGCACACGGAATTCCTTATTTTCTACTGGCGCGATGATAATGTTGTGCTTCGTCGGGGAAACTTGTTGAAGTTGTTGGAGCGTTTTGTTTGAAGCTGTTCGAGATTGTCGGAGGGATTGTTGTTATATTATATTGTTATACTATTGGTGACTGTGGATTTTTATGAGTTGAATGATGGGTTGTTGATGGGTGGTTACGTTAGTAGACGTTTCAGGAGAGTGCTTTATCTGAGATGGTTTGTGAGTCATTTTAATGAGGGTAGTTAATGTTAGCGAATTTTGTGGAATGAGTTACGAAGGTATTACAGTAATACGGTTGTATATCTTCAATTACAAGGAAAGGTATCGAACCGGCGATTTATTGTGAAACTTTGTGTGTGAGTAGAGTAAATCAAGCTATCAATTTTTCTTCGTGCCGAATTTCACTTTGAACGGATGAAACCCTTTGAAGTAAATGCAAACTTTTCTTTTCCGTGGTTGATCTCGAAAACAGTAAGAAATAACAAAAAGAGTGTGAACAAAGAATACATTGTTCTGTCGCGTTTATAACATTCTATTTTGCAATTTTTTTCAAGGAGTGGTTTTAACCGTGAAAGGTGAAATTCGACCCAAAAAAATTGCAATGTATTGGGCTTGACTTATTCTACTTACATACAAAGTTTCATAATTCTTTGAATTTCCGGTGTCGATACCTTTCCTTATAAGTAAATCTCGACAGAAGGACAATTTTAACAAAGTTGACCAAAGTGTTACAATAAATTATAATCCTCAACATTAATCAACAATCAAGCTACAAAAGAATAACTCTAATTTCAACTCAAAAGACTTCAGTAATAATTATACTTCTTAAATTCTCTTTAACATTAAAACTACTAGACAGATCAAAATGTGCCATTCCTGATTTCGTCTTTTTGCAATTAAAAAGATGACAGGTGTCTAAGAAATTATTAAAGAACCCGGTTTAACGATGCGCAAATTGAATCATAAGTCAATTAACACTAGAACTACCGAGTACTTAAACTGTCTTTTGAAAATTTCTTCGTGAGAACCACAAGTGTGTACTTATTAAAATTCCAATTATCTTGTATATCAATTTAAGTATTAAATCAGTTTCCGCAATAATTTCTCAAACAAGTATCCGTGGCTTTCCAATGATTCTAAAAGAAGAAATCGGGAATGGGTCATTTCGATCCATCTGGTAGTTCTGTGTTAAAGTCTCAACAGCGTCCTTCGTGTTTCTATACAGTAATTTCAAAAAATCAATCTACTCGCTCACTAATTTTAGTGTAAAAATCTTCACGACGATTCTCAAGTTACAAGACAAAGCTATGGGGTTACAGGGTTAACGAACCCCGACGCAATGTCCCTACAAAAATACGTCCCTCCAACCGGTGAAACCATTCCACCGTCAAGCCGACCGCGTGGCAGCGTTAGCGTGACCGCTGATCAGCGTTATTTAACGCGGCCGAAAAGCCTGTAAATCGGGGCCACCTGTTCGCGGACACCTGCGCGTCGGTTTCCACCCTCCGCCACCCTCCTCTTTCGGTGTAGACCGAACGACGTCGCGGTGTCCCGCGCCAACGGACGCCCATGGACTTCTCCCAGCCCCCGCGCGCCTGGTCTGCTGATAATGCCGGTTAATATCATGTAAATTGTAATTAATATTCATGGGGTTAATTCGGCGCCGGCTGCGAGCACGGTCGCGCAAGCCGAAGTTTTACCGAGAATTTACGCTCGCCGGGGAGCATATTTCGGAAAGGGTTGCAAGCCCCGATCGTCTGCTAGATATCGCCTTGGCCTACCTTTGCCCGGGGGCTTCTGTTGCGAAATAAATCGTCGGTCTTAAGGCGACCGGCGAGATTTATTACGGAATTATGAAGAATGATCCGGCGATACGGGACCGGCGGGCCTTCCGCGATAAATCGACCGTGGCTCTTGATATTCCGGTGAACAACGTAGATACCGCTTTTCAACCCCATGCGACCTGTTCCCCGCGATCTCACGTGG